CTCTACCTAGTGATACGAAGATCAATCATAGGAGGGAAGTAAGGAGCACTGCAGTGCTATTACAGTACGAAGCAGAAAAGAGTTACCTGAAATTGTTGGTGGCACTCTAAAACAATCACTTGGAGATGATAGTGAGGGTGAAGAAAAGAATAGCAAGAATGTGAACTATGGAGAGGATGAAGAAGATCCAGTTATAACTTCTAATGATGGTAATCCGAGACCAATTGTGCCTCCCGTGTCGTTTCCACAATATTTGTAGAAACAAATATAGGATAAGGAATTCTCTAAATTCATGGAAATATTTAAGAAACTTCAAATAAATATCCTTTTCACAGAAGCAGTGGAGAAAATGCCTAACTATGTGAAATTTTTAAAGGAAATTTTGTCGAAGAAAAGAAAACTAGGCGATTTTAAGACAGTGACACTTATAGAGGAATGTAGTGCTATTTTTCAAAAGAAGCTACCACCAAATCTCAAAGATCTGGGTAGCTTTACAATTCCATGCACAATAAGCAGTCAATTTTTCGGGAAAGAGGAGGTGTTCCAGCATGGAGTAGTTGAAGTTGAAAAATCCAATTTGAAGAGAACTTTCAAGGTGAACAGGAGGAGACTGAAGCAATATTGGGGCGGCGACGTTGATCATCAAAAGACCTCAATAACCCTCATCGACCCAGGATGAAGCAGGAAGTAGTCAGGTTGAAGACTATAAAACAAGCGCTAATTGGGAGGCAACCCAAATTTTAGTTTCTAAGTTTTATTTTATTTTATTTTATTTTAGTTTTTTATAATAAATAATGGAGCTAGTTAGTTAGTTAGTGCATTTTAATTGGTATGTCAATTGCTTGCAGGTCCCAAGAATTGAACATAATGTTGGAAAACACACAAAGCATTATTAGGAACCAAGAACAGCCCACCTATGTTTCCCGAATACACTCCCAACTCAGCAGACGATAAGGACGCTAACGATGATGTGAACTAGCGAAGTCTTAGGGAAGTTTTCTGTTTTAATTTTACCTACTTTATACATTGAGGACAATGTTTAGTTTAATTTTGGGGGTGTTTTCTTGTTTGCATTTGCATTATTAGGTATGCATTTAGATAACATGTTTTAGTACGACTTGAGCAATGGGTTGATTGAATTTGATCATGGCCAATGATGAATGGAATTAATTATCAATTTAAGAGAAATTGATGAACATGTTGAGTCTGTAGTTTGACATACTAGTTGGTTTTACACTGTTTATGATCTTTTCATTCATGAGCACATATCCATCTGTTTGGTTAGTTATTATTTAGGGAATTTATTTGGTTAAATGCTTGTGGGAGATATTATTGAAACTTTAGAAAACTTATTTAAGCATCATTCAAAGTGAATTGAGGTATTCATATAAGTTTGGGAGAAATATTGGTTACGATGGGTTAATATAGAAAAAAAAAGTGAGTTTTTCAAAATTATTTTGATTTGATCATTCATGAGTTAGATGAAAAAAAAATAGGAAAACAAGGAACAAGTATATGGGCATGTGGTGAGTAGAGATGGAGCATAAAACACACTCACTCATAAACACATGTGGAGAACGAGATGGAGCGTAAAATGCACTCGTTCAAGAAAAGGCGAAATGGAGCGTAAAATGCACTCGCTCAATAGGAGGTGAGATGGAGCATAAAATGCACTCACCGAAAGAGAAAAAAGAGTGAGAATAAAAAATAAAATATTTGGTCCTTCTAGTTATATGGTTGCCATAATAAGTGGAGGTTGATGTGAAACATAAGTTCATAGAGTTGATATTGAGTATCTCCTATGAAGTATTTGATTACATAAATGTATTTGGGTGATGACTAGCTTGATAGTTCAGATATGTACATGTATTTAAAGGGTCACGAGCGAAGGTAAAATTAAGGAGTATGTTAAATTGATAATCTTTGCATTGTTTTGAAGTTTCCCGTGAATTATTATTTGTAGAACTTTTGGGGCCATTTTTCAGATTTATATTGATCCATTGTTTGAGTAGTTGGTTGATTTTATAGTTTTTGTTCTTAGTATTTTACTTGAGGACAAGCATAGATTTAAGTTTTGGGGTATTTGATGAGTGACTTTTATACCTACGAATTGAATATTTTTGATTTGATGAAATTGTAAGCTTTCAATTATTTTATGTTCATTTTTATTTATTTTGTGTGTTTTGAAGTTATTTTGTAGGGATGATAGTTTGGAAGGAATCATGATCATTTGGGAGGAAACAAGGTCAATTTGGAGCCTAAAGGTTGAATTTTTGGAAGAGGAAGTTAAAGGGCATTTTAGGCCTGAAAGGGGGGGGGGGCACCCTAGCACCAATTTGGACACCGCAGCACCCGTATACTGTCCAATTGGCACCCCTGCACTGATTTCTGGCACCTCCACGCTTGGGTTGGTTAGTGACGCGAATTTTACTTTGTTTTTGACCTGAAATTGGACTCTAAGGTTATATATATGCTAGGGTTTGTGTGGGAATAGGATATGCTGACTTTTGGGGGCTGAAAACATCTGAAAACCAAGGAATTGGAGGAAAATTAAAGACAAGAATCAAAAGAATCGACACAAAGAAGATTGGACTTCAAAGCTAGAGAAGGGTTGAAGATTGCAACTAAGTTTTCATTCTTTTCTCTTACTTTTAATTCTGGATTTTCTAAGATGTTGTTCAATTTTATAATGATGTTCTTCAATGACATTATGAACTAAATTCTTATTAAGATTGCAACGGAACCTAATGTCTAGTTAAATTTATCTACTCTCGTTTCTAGTTCTATTGATCACACATAAGTTGTTTGTCATATTTTATGCTTAATATATGATTGTGTGGCCACCAATCAATTTGATAACCTAGATGAAATTGGAAGATGAATTCTAGGTTTAGATTCGAATATGATGACATACGTCTGGTTAATTCTTCTTAGGATTGAATTGCTGGTTTTATGAATAGGATAGAAATACACCTATATGCCGTGTGTAACTTTCATGAGAATTGAACTTAATGAATCTATTCCAAATTATTTTGCATAGGAATATAGTAATTTAATTGGGAGAGATAATTTTATCTAACTATCGGAAGAGGTTTGATAAATACTTTGAGTTCTCAGTTAACAACTTATTTTGATCAATTAACAAGAAAGAGAGTTAGAAAGGTTTATGCGAAGCATTAGGGGAAGTTGTAATCTTAATTTCTTTTATCCGTTAAATTCAACCCTTGATTATTAAATTTAAGTTTAGTTTTTAGTTAGTGAATTCATAGTTTAATTCCAATTGTTTAAATAAAATCAAATTAATATAAAGTTAGTATTGGAAGTTATTAGTAATATTTCTCCGTGGGAATGATACTCTACTTATCACTTTATTACTTATTGATCGTGTATACTTGCACGTAAATTGTCAATATCAAATTCGAACAACATATATGCATTATTATATATTGACATTGAGGTTGTTGAAGGTGGTTACATGCTTTTGATGTAATTGATCATGGAAAAAGGTTGAAGGATATTTAAGATGTTCATATTGAGCTCATGACATGTGAACAGGATAATGAAATTGCAAGTGTACATTATATTTGCATATGCACGGGAAGCATCACATTCATGGGCATTTGACATGAGTATGGTTGTGTGTGTGTGCATGTTTTTTGAATCAGACACAATTCTTAGTGTTTGAGGTGTAGACTTGGGAGGATTGGACCTAGGTTCTACTGAGTTGCATAGCTCCATGAAAAACTTGTGTCAGGTATAACAAAAAGTGCTAGATTATCCCTCGGGTGCAAGACCCGGTTACTAGTTTATACACTTCCATTGATGCAAGTCCAAAAATTTGTATTAGTGTCACGGAACTGGCAGTGGGATATCAGAATTCGTGTACCCAAGAAAGACACATGATTTATTTTATAAAATAGTAATTGGATGTGTAACATCAATGGTAGGAGTTAGAATGCCCGGATTCATATGCATGACATTACATGTGTTATGAGAGTCGGTGAAGGCTCAGGTTGAGTTGAATGTATGAGTCTCATCTCATGACATGACATGACATAGAAAATTATATTATGAATTGCATATTCTTAAATAGATTGTTTGTTGATTGTTAAATCGCATGTGAGCATTTCACATGCATCTAGGCTGGGGAGTAGCCTCTTTAAGAGATACCCTATTGAGCATGACTCACCCTTTATGGGGACAATATTTCAATTGCGAGACATGCGCTGGTGGATGGCTCTCACTCAGGCTCTCATTAATGAATAAATGCCGAGATATGGCTTTAAATGATATTTTTGTAAAACTAATATGTAATTTAGTTTTTGGACAAGTAATATTGTGCAAGGAATTGCAAAACAAACTCATATGAACTGTGTTTTGTGTAAAATTGTATGTTATATGAGTTTGGGTTGTTGTTATATAAGTATGGATAAATGGACCCGGTGTGGTCAATGTTGTATGATTGCATAGGTTGTATTTTAGGTAGAGCTCCCTCTACAAAGGAGACTTTTTCCAAATTTTGTTAAGTTATAGATCCCAATAAATGGGGCATAATGGCGTGGTATCGAGTTAAACGGTATCCACGAGTATTCCGCGGATTGATGGGGTATCAATGGGGTAATTAGGGACACCCAAATTTTGGGGCGTCACAGAATGTGATGTTCTTTAGAGTCTATGAAGGATCTAGATTTTTAGTTGATAAAACTTGATAGAGACCTTCATGAATCACAATAAATTCCATTAGACTATCCCTAGGATCTGAAAGCTTAACAAAATATTTTCTATACGGAAGAATGTAAGTGACAAAAGATGTTTGGGCTATACACATGATCGCGCCACTTCCACTCCTTTGAAAATGGTGTTTGTGAATGGTAATTCTAACCCATCACCCCCATGAGTGGCACAAGTCCACCTAAATCTAAAAATTGTAAGGATACGAACTTGAAAAAGTCAGTTTTTAAAGAACACTATGCCATACAATCGGTGTGTTTCACGTGTAGTATAGCACGCATTGCATGCATAGAATGGAAGTCGTGAATAAAAAGCTCATGCATCTAGCTAACCAACCAAAGGTTTTGAACCATCAATTCAAGAATCTAACCAAGCTAATGGATATGTCATATGATTTTAAGCCAAACAATGCATCACCTAAAGAGGGCTCACAATCTAGAGTGAATAGAGCTCCTTCTACTCCCAAAGTCAAAATTGAGTTAACTATTGCCAAAGAGAAGAGAATAAGTCCTACAACCATTCCCAGACCTAACTTGAGAAATTGGAAGGGAGAACAAGTTTGGATGAATATAGAGGACTTTGAGAGGCTCACTACCTCAACCAAATTGGAAGCCACAAGTGCTACCAAGGAGGTTGAGTCACTTGAGAAGTAGGTGAGAAAAAATTATAGACCTAGGTGCATATTTGTGCATGACGTCTTACATACTAGGTTCATATGTTGTGAATAATTTTTCTTTATTTATTTACCTTGTTTTTGATAAATGACAACAAAAAAATTAAAATTTAAAATCCAAAAATATTTTGGATGTCCAATGGACATTCTTCTTAGGATTTAGGGTAGTTTCTTTATTTTTCATTCTTAGTGCAAAGTTATGAATTTTTTTATATTAATATGAAAAACCAAAAATATTGGAAAAGCAAAAAGCAAAAAGATTTTCTTTTTTTTGGTTTTCATTGTTGGTCAGGGTAATCAAACTTTGGTTTGATTTATAGCGTATCCATTATTAATTCAAAGTTAAGTGCATTGCCATGAGATATTTTAGGGAATAGAGAAATTAGTAGTCATAAATCATAGGGATATGTGTTCTTTCTAAAAATTCAAAACCAAGTGCACGACGACAATTCACCTTCATAATTAGGAGTCTAGCTAGCTTGATTGATTAAAGACCTTACATGACTCTAAGTGTTGATGATAGGCGAAGACATATATAAAGTTTAGTGAATCCCTCAAAAGATGTCAAATTGTCAATTGTAAGAAAAAGCCCAATGTGGCCAAATATAAAGTGAGCCACACAAAAATGAATGGTTAGTGTCAATTGAACTTTAATTTTTAAGAGTACTCTATGCTTAATGTCATTTCTCATATGTAAATCTCAAAGGGCTAAGTTCTTCATGTTTAAAAGCATACATTGAAAATTACAAAATTCACACGTTTTAATTGAAGCCATTATGAGTTGAAGGGATGTAAAAAACAGGGGGGTATCTGAAAAGAAAAAGAAAAATGCATATAGGACACTCACTAAATTGTTATGTTTTTGCTTTGACAATGTATTAGGAATTCATATAGAGCTTTATTAATCATTTAAGCTAGAAGGATTCCTAATAGTGTCGGAGTTTGGTTTCACACATGTTACACTTGAATTTATTAAAGATGCAAAGTTCAAACACGTATGAGTAAAATTGAACTAAGTGAGAGTACATTGCCCCAGAATGTATAAAAATTAAGTTCTATATTTAATAATATAACTTAGACTAATTTTCTAGATGATGAAATAGGGATGAAAGTGCTATTTTGAGAACATGTGTGATTTTCATAATTAATGTCATTTTTGCATTTCATTGTCAAAAAATAAAAATTTCAAGACATATGTTGATCCCTATTTCATCCATGCATGTGCATATAGTTTCATTTAGATTGTACATACACCCATGCATTTGTCTTGGGGCTCAAGTAAGTCAGTTTGAGGAGGAGTATTGGTCTGGAAGTCGAAATAGAAGTTTGAACAGGGCAGCTTCAGAGATTACTCGAGCAACCCATGCTTTAAAATTCTCTCCCACACAGCTTTAAAATTGGGATTTTCACTCCGTCAAACATTTCCTACTCACTCCACTCATGAGCCCACCTCATTTTTCTCAAACCCAAGGCCAACCCACTTTGTTAAACTTGTTATAGAGTGATCCTAGTGTCTTTGGACTTTAGATCTGTGATCTTCATTTTTTTTTTTGCACCTACTCACTGTTCATTTTGGGAAAATGCTGCCAAGAATTGAGAAAACAGCTTGTGTTAGATCTTTTAATGAGAGACATTTCATGACATATTCGAGGTGTGTTATTTGTGTTCTCAACTAACCTAATCGCCACCACTCTACACCTACAACGTGTACCTCATCATGTATATAGGCATGGCTTAGATAAGGAGGTACCAAGGCTTAGCAATCTTGCATCTAAGCTATATGGAGCACCATACCCAGATGGTTGGAACCAATCCAAGTGGTTTCAAAAGGATTTGACTAAGGAGTACATAGTGAAATAATGATCACTGAACAATGATCAAATTTTTAAAAGAAAATATTTTGTCCAAATTTGAAATTCCTAAATCCATTATAAGTGATGAGGGTGCTCATTTTTGGAATTTGATGAAAAAGCACTTGATTTCTCATAAAATTGCAACCCCTTATCATCCTCAGACTAGTGGACAGGCTGAATTAGTTAATCAAGAGATCAAACTGATTTTAGAAAAATAGTTAATCCACATCACAAAGATTGGTCGTTAAAACTAACTGATGCACTCTAGGCATATTACATTGCTTTTAAAATAATTTTAGGCATGTCTCTTTATCAATTAGTTTATGACAAGTCTAGTCACCTACCGGTGGAATTGGAACATAGAGCATACTAGGCATTAAAACAATGAACTTTGACCTAGACAAGGCTGGAATTTCAAGAAAACTTTAGATTAATGAGTTGGAAAAGTTGAAAAATTAGGCATATGACAATGCCAAAATTGCAAAGGAAAGAATGAAAGTTTTCCATGACAAAAACATAGTGAGAAAATCCTTTATCCCTTCACAAAAAGTCTTTTTGTTCAATTCAAGGCTCCCCTTGTTTCCTGGTAAGTTGAGATCAAGGTGGATTTGGCCTTACATTGACAAACAAGTTTCTGGAAATGGAACAGTGGAAGTGGAAAATCCTTCAAATGGTAATATTTTCACTATCAATGGTCAGTGTTTGAAACCATTTTTTGAAGACTTTTCTAAAGATATGGAAACCATTTTTTTAATGGATCCAAAATATTCTACCGAGATTCGCGCCTACCGACACAAAAAGGGGTTGAGTTAGGAAAAATCAAAACCAACCCAACTCAAAAGGATGCCTTTATAAGGCCTCCAACCCTTTCCCTTTTCCCCTATTTGCCGCTCTTCTTCTTCTTCTTCCCTATTCTCTTCAAACGACCCACTCTTTGCACAATCCTTTGTTTTATGTTTTGCATTTTAATTATGTACTTGCCCATGGGTGCCATGCTTCTATTTACACTCACGCACAAGGGTATCCATCCTATCTGAAACCCTGATCTTTGTAAAGATGATTAATTTTGTATTTTGTTTGTAGGCATTGGCGGATGAGAACTACATTCATATTGTGTTTTAAAAAAAAAAATCGTGGTCATATTGCGTATTTTGTCTTGTATTTCATATTATGTCTTATATTTGGTATTTATACAATCTTTATAGTATATAAAAACAAAAAAAAAATTTGATGAGCATGTCTTTAAAGCAACTTCAATCGTCTTTGTGACTAGCATAAACGAAATGTACAAATATAACTTCGAAATGATTTATACATGTCCATCACCTCTTACTAAATAATGAATGAGAAATTACTCACTCTTCATGGCTTTGAGAAAGATAGAAAAGTGAGTGATTCTCATCCACCCAAGTAAAGGAGTTACAAGGTAAAACATACTATACGGTAACCCTATCTTTGACGAAGAATGAGTGAATCACTTATCACCCTTCATGGCTTTGGTAAAGTTTAGAAAAGTGGAAGAGTTTCACTCCTCTAAGGGAGGAAGGAAGCTTAAACAATGGAAGCTAATGAAAATAAAAATGAAAGTAGAAGAAAACTAGTCACTTTTGGAGGGTTTCCTCGTCAACCAAAAGATGATCCATCTCCTTCTATGTATGTCTATCTATCTCTAAGTCTAAGTGCTAGTAAGTGTAAGTCTAAGTCGTCCTCTGTGAAGCTCCAACAATGGAGGTATATATAGGCAAGGAGGAGGGGTAAGGAAGAGTAAAATAATAGTTCAAAGTCCTCAAAGTCCAAGTGAATACCCCAAGATCCAGATGGAAAATCAACCACTCTGCATTCTGTTTGGAGAGTACATTCGAATGTTAAATGACGTTCGAACGTTGACTCCTGTCTTTTGTGATGGGCGTTTGAATGCTGAATGAAGTTTGAACGTGGTACTTAAGTAGCTCTTGTCACTCACAGTAGATTGCAAGCCATGTGTCATCACCTTGGTAGTTTGGTCTTTATATAGTTCAAGAGGGTGTTCAAACGTGGATTAGCGTTCGAACGTTGTACTCAAGTAGCCCTTTTCCCTTCTGTGAAAATAACTACAACACGCCATATGCCATCACTCTAGCAGTCTGGTCTTTAAATAATTCAAGAGGGCATTCGAACATGGATTGATTCTAACGTTCATGCCTTATTTCAAACTTCTCTAATTTTCTTCCAGAACATGTGGGTGTTGCATGAAAGTTTGATGTTTATTGAATTTAGGCGTTTGTACAATCTTTTTCTTGAAATGTCATCATTGAAAATCTATCAAAGCATAATTAGTCTTATAAAATCTTAGTGGAATGCAAATTTTAACTACTAATCAGTACATGGTGATGAATTTGATTGCAAATTACAACATCGGCATTGACTTACCTTCTTTATTTGTGGGGTTATTCATAGGGCCTTTGATTAAGGCAAGATATTTGATGGTTACCCTTTGGTTTCTTGATCACTCAGATTTGTATGGGGAAATGTGTGATTGCAATAGATACAGATTAGAGGAAAAGACCAAAGAAGACTCTTGGGAAGGAGTACATGTTATAGAGTGAGACACACACAAGATACATGTTCGATCCGATATAGGTAGAGGTTGAGGAAGAAGATATGGATTCTAAGACACCAACTCCTGCTTTTGAGGCTGGGCTATTGAGGAGTGCACCACCACCTATTCATGCACAGGCTAGCACTTCATGTGCACCACCATAGAGGGTTCCTCCCACATCTTCATTTTCATAGTAGACTATTTTTATGGATGTATTATGTCATATTCAAGGTAGTATGAACCAACAACATAGTGTCACATCTCATAGGCTCGATTCTTTTAATGGGAGAGTTTGTGACTTAAAGAAAGAAGTGTACTACTCATAGGGAAATGAGATGGATTAGGCGTATATTGGAGAATGGAGGGTTTACCTTACCTATTGATGCAGATGATGAGCCTGAGCCATATCCTTGACGCAGAGGAGGACATAATGGTGGAGATGGTGATGATGGTGGAGCACTTGACACAACCACTTGAGCTGTTGGAGTTCATACACTTAGTATAGGGCCATATAGTAGTCTTGAGATATTTTATTCATTCATGGTCTTG